CCAGTGGCGTAGCTTCCATCATCACAGCAACACTGAAGCCACCACAGAATGACAAACTGACAGACAAGCATATACTCAGAGCAGAGTTTGAATTCAGAATCAGGCATCTTTGAAACGTTGAGAAATATTTGCATTGTGTTAGCCTGGGTTGACTAGAGAAATAAATTTAGATATACTCGTACATGTGCAAGAGAGAACTTTATATCGAAGAGCAATTTTACATTAAGAAAACATCACAGCCTGGTCCAGATCAGGTCCATAAGTCCTATATTAGCCCATATGTCAACACTAGTCCATAAATTCCTCTTTAGACTCACACAACACATGCAATGATGCCTAATGCAGCAAGATCACAGGTGAGTGGGTGGAAAGTCTTGTGGATCCAGTGGCAGTGGAAGGATCTCAGTGCTAGTGTTGGTCTCCACGTTGCTCCTCCAGCTCCAGGGCCCTGTCTGCCATCAGTGTGTCTCCAAGTGGCTTGTCAACAGGAATGTCTCACAGGGAGACAAGCAGAGAGTGTCTGTGTCCTGCCTCCAGTGAGCTATTTATCTCCATAGCGCTTCCAAGTAAGGTCATCGAGCAGCGACTGGCTTGACAGGCTAAACTCCACCCCTTCACTCTTAATAGACTTGAGGTGGCACCAGATAAATTTTATATTAAGTAGATTATTAACTCTATCCACTCATAAGCACATTCAATCATGATAAGAGTACCCTTTTTAACTCAACGTGTGAAGTCAGCTGCTTGGGTGGGTTGGGAGAGGCCTGGTGAATGGATTTCTCAGGAAATCTGCTTTACAGGAATTTGCTCTCTTGATTCTTCCCTTCCCCAGTCTTTATCTTATTTTTAGTCACTGCTATAGTGATGGCCAAAACAACAGCAAGTGAAAGTAGAGCTTCCTTCTTTGTCTACCTTTTCATCCATTTCTAGAATTATGTTTCTGTGGCAAAGTGCTCACTTAAGAGTTAAAATAACTATACTCCTAAGCATATCAATTGATAACCCCAATCCAGTCACATTTTTATTTTTTCTAGTTTCCATGCATTAAGAGAAATGCTGCTTTGCCTGAAAACTAGCAGACTATCTGCAAACAACTAGTGCTAATTTCTAATATAAATCCTATTAAAGTTTCAGATATGTAAAATTCAGACATTTGAAGTTTTACGATGTCTCAATCTTAGCAGACAGCATTCTTTTCATTGCTTAGCCCATCCCTAACCTCTTTCGCCCCCAGAAAGCAAATGACATAAGTGATTTTAAAATTGAATCAATCTTGACTAAGGAAGAACAAAAATAGCTAATGTCTCTCTCATCCTCATGGCCAGCCTCCCGGGCAGATACTGTGGCTCTTCTGTTTCAGAGCATTCATTCTATGTTGCTAATCCCCAATAAATATGGAAAAAAAATGGTCTCTTCACAGCCAACAATTGACAATAAGGAACACATTTCTCATTTGAATAGGCAAGATAAGCAGGTTTCCACCAGTGCAGCTATAGCTGCCTTGGGTGTGTTGTATCCTGGGCAGACACTGCTGGTTCATTCTTAGGTCACGGCTCCCTCATTTCTTCATGTCTATTACTGGGCCAGATCTCAGACTGACATTTCAGACAGCCTCCTACCTTTAAGGCCATTCTGCCACCTCCCAAGACATCATTATTTAAAGAAATGGGTTAGCCCCCAATTAAAGCATTTCAGGTGTAAAGATCTCATCTAGAGAGAGAATTGAGGAATGAATGGGATTGGTGGCTCTAAGTTGGGCTTCCTTAGCCTTCAGTTTACATCATGAAATTGCAGTGTTTGCTCCCCACATAAATCTTTATTTGCCATAAGTGTGTTTACCGGAGTAACCCCAGTGCAGAGCTGATAGCCCATTGCTATGCATAACTGAGTATTAAAGTTCACAAATCATCAGGCAGAGGAGGCCAGAGGAGGCACTGCAGTGTGGCTGTGTCTGTGTCTCAGCAAAGATGAATCGCACGCTCTTGGCGCGGAGCTTTTATTAGGATGAAGCCTCCCAACCTCCTCACTCTGTTTCTCCCTTGATTTTGCTTCCTCTCCCTGCCAAGGCCATCTGTTCTCCGAGTGTCTTAACAACTCTATTATCATAAGACTGATTTTCCCTTCTTCTCCGTTTTGGTTTAGAGGCTGATGCAATAAATGAATCTCTCAGAGGCCACCTCAATTTATTTTTGAACAAGATAATTCTGGGAAAGAATGGAAAGATTAAATAAGCAAACAGATAAATAATCTTCAGACCAGAGACCACCCCACCTTCCTTTCTGTCTCCTCCCCTCCCCTCCTGTCTCCGACCCTTTCTCCTGTTCATCTATTTTTGTTTATAGAGTAGGGGTGTGTGTGTGTGTGTGTGTGTGTATGTGTGTGTGTGTGTAAATGGCCCATTGAAGCCAATCCGCCTTTGGTCAAATGATCAAATATGAGCCAAATTGTTAAGATGTTTCTTTCATTTTCAACATATGCTTAGAATGTTCATCCAGAAATAACACTTCTTAATTGTACTTATTTGTTATTAATAATATATTGCTTAATTGTGTGCTATAATAGTTATATTTATAAGTACATGGATGCCGAGTGAGTCCACATTGCTTGCCTTTTTCTTTAGACCCACATGTTAAGGAAGACTGTTGGTAGTTAGCTTTCACCTTCATACTACATTATTTTCTTATGGATGGAACTCGTAATGCAACAAATAATTTGACTGGCTTGGAATAATGTCATAAAATAGCAACAGAATTTTTCAGTGATAATGGATAGAGGAATTAGAATCAACAATCTAGATGATGAGAAACATTAGAAAACTTTGTATTATTTAATATTAATTTTTTTTCTCTCACGTGCCTTACCAGAGGAGGCATCCTGGAGTTAATGGACAGTGACTGGACTCAGCAGTCTTCCTTGTTCTCAAAGCTGGGGTTTCTTGTCTCCTCCCCAACGCCCTCTTGTATAAACTGTAAACAATTCAAGTATGCAGTCTATGGAGCTGATGTTATTAAGGCCTTAAAATAGATCTGCCAAGCATATTAAAGGAAGATGTTGGCTGTGTATTGTGTGCAGAAGGTAGCCAGAGGGAACATAGCTGGTAACCTTAATTTTAATCTTAATATGTAGTGTATTTTCAGTAATAATTTAAAACAACCCAACAAGTGAAAACCACTATGAGAAAGAATTAGCATGTGTAATGAGTGCACCGTCACAAAGGGGACACATAAAGCAGGCAAAAGGGAAGCTACAAATTACAGACGTGTTCCTCCCAACAATTGCAGGCCCAGGGCAAGCCTCTCAGCTTGGCCTTTCCCCAGCCTTCCTTGATCAGGTGTTCCCAACTGACTGAAGCTTGTCTCAGTCTTGTTTGAGAAATAGAGCATCTTTCCTAATGCAGGAACTATTAATTTGCTTTTTTGGTTTTCTAGTTTGGCTCCCAGCTGAAATTTTACCTTTCCATCTAGATGTATTGAATCAGAATCAGAAATCAACTTTTCTTGTATAGGTATATAAGAATTATAAAAATGATCTGGAGTCCTTGTTAAACTGTAGATTCTGACTCGGTATATCATGAGTAAAAAGGCAAATGTTTACCTGGGTTCAAACCAGAAAGAGTCAGTTTGAAGCTCTCAGTGTTGTTCCATATTATTTAACACATGAGTATACGTGTGTGTTTCTTTATATATGTATACACACTCACATATACAAGCACACACACACACACACACACACCAAGAGTTTTACATAAATCATAGTTAATTACTGTCACCTGTTGGGATCATTTATAATTTTGTTCTTCCTCAATATAAAGCAAAAGCTCCCAAATGCATTCAATATATGTTATTTTCTAGCAATATGTATTAATTCAATTTCTTTCCTTTTGTTTGAATTTAAAAGATCTAGTTGCAAATTTTAGCTAATGTTTGCTTTAAGAAAAATCTACACTTTCAAAGAATTTCTCTCTCAGAGAGCTGTGTTGAGGTAGTTCCATGGATTCTCGGGTACTCGGCATGGTTAATAGTGTGAGCTCAGGAAGAACCTTCTTTTATAGCATTAAGTGAGTTGTTTCATTTCTCTGCCACATGCTAGTTCCACCTAAAGTCAGGAGTCATAAATGTCTACCCAACATGTGTAGGAATAGCTCATAATCTTACTTTAAAAGTGTATTTTAAATTACTTGTAGGGTGGGTTAAAATAATTACAATAAATAAGTCCTGGTCCAATTTAAAAAGAAACCATGCAGAAGGACAAAATAACCCAAAGGAAAACACATACATATATACATATGTGTATATATACATATGTGTGTGTGTGTGTGTGTGTAGCTTTCTAGATTATCTGTAGAGTTCCATGAGTCAGAATTGACTCGATGGCAGTGAATTTGTTTTTGTTTTTCTAGAATATCTCTTAGTCACTTAGAGTGTTTCACGACAGTGTGCCCTTGGGAAGACTGGGTGAAACAGAGGGAGCACATGAACATGTCAGGAGCGTGTCGCTCCAAGTAGCCAGTTCATTTGTTCCCCGGGAGATACAAAGATGCAACCCAACCTCAGTACTACTGGGTGGTTTCCGCGTAAAATGAGGTAGCACAAGAAGGTTGGAGAGTAGGGGAAATCTGTCAACTTAATTAAAAAAAAACTATTTGAAAATCTTTGACTTCTCCAAATATCATCAAAACCAAGGAAACAGCCAAATATTAAAGGTTTACCTTACTGCATGCAAATCACATCAATAACAACTTCTGTTAGTGCGGCCTGAGGAACTTACTATTCTCCCCAAATGCTCACTGAATACCAGTGGAAATGTCAGTGAATTTTTCAGGGCCAAAATTCTGTCCACTCTTAAAGGTCAAAATGCGTCCTTCGATCATCGCCATCTGGGTAGCGTATTCCTGAGATGGAGATTTCTGAAGACTACCTTTGCAAACCAGCGCTCTTACGCCATAAAACATCAGTCCTGTTCTTGCAACAGCCAGTTCAAAAGCTGATTTTTCTTCCCAGGATACCAGCCAGTCTTGTCTGGTCAACAGGGGTTCCCAAGCCTAATGGGAGTGCAGCAGCCACCTCAAAGCCAGAGTGTGATGAGCAACCAAGGAACTCCGGTGCAAAGCATGATGGTCTCCTATCCAACAATGTCTTCTTATCAGGTGCTGGGGAAATTGTGGGTCAGGAAACAGCACTTGTCAAAGTGGAGAGTGTAGGCACACCCCTTGGCTGAAGTTGAGTGGGCAGTGGAGGCTCAATTTAACCAGTGTGGATCGTTGTCTTTCAACTGAAACTATAATAGAGAAGTTGAAAGGGGAGAAATATATTTGTATAGCTGCCATGGTTTTTGAATAAACTGCTAAGTGTCTTTCTATATAAACTTTCTATTAATGGAAGACAATTCTTGAATCTAAATTTTTATTCATGAAGATCTTTTGGGTGTTCTATTGATATTTTGTTTCTTGATAGAAAGCTTTCATGAGCTACTCCTCCGGCATACATTTTTATATACTTTCAAATAAACGTTTGTTTGACCATAATTCTCATTATAAGATATTTTTAATGGCATCTCAGATTCATTTAAAGGGCTTTTGTGGGAGCTAACAGTTGCAAGTTCCATAGGAAGCCCAAGTTGGAGATTTATAAAGTGTTATGCACTATTTTGTGAGGCATCCTGGAACACTCTGAAAGTGGAAGTGAAGGGTTAGTGAAATGCTATCATTAAATTTAGTTATCACAGTTACTTCTGGCACTAAAAAAAATCTTCCTCGGGCCTTCACAGACCCTGATCTATCCTTGCTCAGATTATATCAAGATCTATCTATAGTTCCAAATTAGATCTTCTCTAAAACTGCAGATGGGAATGATTATTGATTAATTCCTGGGATGAATCTCCCACTTATTATGAAAGGCTACCAACTTCTGACTTCCAACTTCCTGCTTTGCCTTAAACCAGAATGGGAACCTGGCTTGCTAATCTGAGAGGAGATGGAGATCACAGGCCCTGGAGGGAATCAAGAGAAGCAGAAAGGCAACTAGCACCTCCCACGCTGCACTCCAAGCATGGGTACCAGGCACTCTGAGTGAGATGTGTCCCTTTTACATGCCATTATCTACGGAGCCTGAATCAGAGGTTTCAGAAATTACTCACTCAGCACCCCCTGGCAATTAAGAACTTCTGTACTATAACACATAATCCAGAACAAAATGTAGATATCTGCTTTTGCAGCCCCACCCCCACCATCCCAGCACCCCCCAGGGAGCAGTATCGCCACTTTGAGAGACACTGGTCTAGATGAGTGGAGAGGTTATGTGACTTGCTGAATGTGAAAGAACTAACGCGTGGCATGTGGTGATTGGTGGCCTGTTGAGCTCATGCAAAAGCTTTCCATTTTTCATATAGAATTCTCTCTTGTGTCTTCCTACAGGTGCCAATGACCCAGGGTTCTCAAGGATTGCCCCAGCAGTCATACCAACAGCCAATCATGCTACCTAACCAGACCGGTCAAGGGTCACTCCCAACAACTGGAATGCCTGTTTACTGTAATGTCACACCGCCAACCCCTCAGAACAACCTGCGGCTGATCGGCCCACACTGCCCCTCCAGTACTGTCCCTGTGATGTCAGCTAGCTGCAGGACAAACTGTGCAAGCATGAGCAATGCGGGATGGCAGGTCAAGTTCTGAGAGCTCTGGTTCTAGTCCATTTCTTCAGACATTGCTCATGGCCTTTAAGGGAAGAGGGGCCACATGGGAAAGCTGGCCGAGGACTTCACTATTCTCTTAACACTCAACTGGTTGCTGCTGGTGTTCTGTACAAAACAAAGACTAATACACATGTTAGCTGGTTAATGGTGCATATTTCTGTCATGTCTGCTAGGTATGCCTTTATAGCTTAGCTAGTGACATGAATTCATCAAGGTAAGATTTTTTCCTACCACTGAATACCACTGTGTAGACGATAATATCTCTAATTTGAATTAGTTTTGTACTCTGTGTTGAGTTTGTGATGAGAAAAGTATTTAAAAAAATCTATACTGAAATTACCTTGTACCAAAGCTGTAAGGGGAAAAGAAAAGAATTGATGAATGGAAGGAATAATTTATATACACTATAGAATTTTCTTTTTTAATGGATATATACTGTATTGTAGTGTTTAATCAAAATAAAGTTATTTGACCTTATGGAGGAAGGTCATTTTTACTACCAGTTTGGCTCACTCGCTCTTCTCATGTGCGTTTTATTATGCGTTGCTGGTCCCCTCTTTGAGCATGAGCTCATGAATACTACACTGAAAATGTCTTCCAGATAGTTGCAAGTGAACTGATAGGTTGGGCCATGTCATAGGCAAACACTTAGCTACCATTTCTAGTCATCTGACTACTTACTACTCGGGTCAAGATAAGATGACATATATGCCATTCCTTTGTTGAACGCACACTTTTTAAATGTACAATTTGTTTGTAGTTTTAAGATCTTTGAATACATGTAGCTATCATTCAAGGAAGCCTGGCAGAGCAACAGTTAAGTGCTCCGCTATGAACTAAAAGGTTGGTGGTTTGAAACCACCCAGTGGCTCTGCCAGAGAGAAACCCTAGCGATCTGCTTCCATTAGCATTAAAGCCTCGAAAACTCCCATGAAACAGTTCTACTTTGTCACATGGGATAGCTTTGAATCAAAATTAAATCAGCTATATCCAACCATAAAACACCAAATTGTCATTTCTGGGCCACTTGTCCTGGGAATGCAAAGCCCCACTACCTCTAGCATATCTTGTTTCAGTTAACTCATGCTGAATATGGTGAGCAGAAAGCACCCTATGGGATAATTTTATCACATGGGGTCACTAAGAGCAGAAAATCCACTGGACAGCTCCTAAGAACAACCATAACTAGCTATCAGTCATCAACTCATAAAATCTGAATGTGGTAGATAATACCAGCTCCTGTTCACCTTCATTCTGGTTCTACCATATTCCTGGGAAACAAGGTGTCTTTCTTCAGAAGGATTATACACCCAGGCGCAGTCTAACTCCACCAGTTACATAAGGTCATGCAATTTAAATATACAATAAACATCATTAGTTTTGACATGAGTCTCCGAGTAGCTCTAGGATGCTATGTTTGCCCTTGTAATTTAAAACAAAGAAAAATGAAATAATAATTCAGTCACAAAAACAGAGGAAATTGGCAAACATTTAGAAAAAGACTGTGACTGGTTAATCCCGAAACATTTACCCTTCTAGAGCTAGTACAGGTAAAATGGATTTATGACAGTCTCTGTACATAATAACAGTACCCTGTCTAGCCAGCTTGGGTCCTTCTGGGAGATAGTTAATGGGCAAAATAACCCCATAACTTTCACTTTATTATCACAGCACCATGGCTAATGTTTTGCATTTTATATTCTCTGCCTAAAATCATTATCATTAATGAGCGGGATGTGGAAAGTATGTCCAGATAATTCCCAATGTTTTTCATATTGTAACATTCTCTATATTAGATTTTCCATTTTAATGTTCTTCAGGGGTAGATAAAAAACATCTAATTAAGGCCTCTACCCAACAGATCAACATTCTCTAGTGTTATACTGCTTTCCTTTTTCTTTAAAAGGGCTCTTTTGTGCATATCCTCATTAGTCAGATTCCTTTCTCCATATCTCAATGTACTGAAATCTTCATCACTAATACATTCTACCCATAGGAAAAATCATCAAAATGTAAATGTTGCCTTTCTCTTTCTTTTTTTTTTAGCTAAACCATTAGACCAATCAATTGAACAGCCATTAAACCAAAATCTGCTCTTAGAAGGAGTAATGTGTTTTTTCCAATTAGTACTTTTTTTAATTGAAGGAGAATATTGAACCATATTGATTTAGTTTTGGAATATATTCTTCATTTGGCCTTCTTATCTTGGAAATGATATAAACTGAAGGATCCAATAAAAGCCTGGATGTTCTTTTCATAGGATTCTGAGCCATTTTTTTTAAGACTCCAGCAATTGCTGAGCCTCTTGTCTCCTGGATTTGATTTTGACACTATGCTAGTATGAACACAAAGGAGCCCTGGTGACAGAGTAGGCTATGTGTTGGGCTGCCATCGTAAGTTCAGCAGTTTGAGGCCACCAGTCACTCTAAAGTAGAAAGAAAAGGGTTTCTGCTCCCATGAAGATTTACAACCTCAGAAATCCGCAGGAGCAAATCTATTTTGTCCTATAGGGTTGCTGTGAGTCAGATCGACTCTGTGGTGGTGAGGGGTTGGGATTTTGGTTTTGTTCTTTGCTTCTTTCATAAAAGAGGGATATTTTGTGTTGCTTTGTTTGGTTTCCTCTTGAGCTACTCTTCTCCTAATATGATTTCTTTCATATTAAGATATTTGTTTTGTTGTATAAATCCATTTCAATTTTGTTTCATATTAAACCTTCTACTCTACTGTCAGCAAACATATATTGAGTATAACAGTTTTCTAAACTGTTATACTAACAGTTGTATATATTGTGTTTGTTATTTAACATTGCGATAGTTTTATAGCTCGATAGAGAGAGTGGTGCCTGGTGGTGTTAGACAGGGTTCTCTAGAGAAACAAAACCAGAATGCTAATACTTTTATATATATTTATACAGTGAGATATGTAACATAAGAAATAAACAGTTAATTAAATTATAAAGCAGTGCAAATGGCTCAGCGCAACTCACTCCCATGAGACAGTTGTGAGACACTGGCAGTGCTTCAAGTTTTGAGGGCTGCCAGGTAGTCCTCTGTAGAGCAATTCAGGCTATCCAGGCACAGGCAGAAAACAGCAAGGCAGGTCACCAACAGTCAGCCAGATGACAGGGTCCAACAGTCCCCAGCTCAAGAGATGTAAATTCCAATGCTGTGGTGAAGCAGGTCTTGAAGGAACCTCAAATTACAGCGACACAGTCCATGGGTTAGGTGTCCCACAGGTAGTGTAGCTTGCAAATTGGGGTAAAGAACAAGCAAGGCAGCTGCACACTGGTCCAATGATCAAAGAGCAAGAGACAAGAAAGGCAAGGCTCGCCGAGCCATTTATCTCTCCACTCTTCAATTAATCCCACATGTATTTATCGGCCAAGTTGACACAATAAACTAACCCCCTCACTGGTTTTATGAATGAAACATTTATAGATTTTGATTTACTGGCTGGAGAACATTTTTTGTTGTTATCCACAATGTTTAATAATTGGTTTTATCACAATTACATCTTTTAATTGCAGATTATTCCACTTATAAGCCTATATTGAGATGTATGGATACATAGATGTCTGTGTACAGGTTTCCCTCACTACCTGAAAATACAGCATTCCTATAACACCTTTTGTAAATTGAAATGACATGAAGCAAAGAAACACCATTAATTAATGTATATGGTTAAAAAAATCACCTCTCAAATGACACATAAAACTTAAAATAATATTAACATATAAGAAAAGGAGGAATTCTATGATACATGCACAGACTGTTTATGATATAAACAATGAATGCATAGTGTGTTCCTCAGGAACCCTAGTGGTATAGTGGTTAAAGGCTGGGCTGCGATCCGCATGGTCAGTGTTTCAAAACCGCCAGCAACTCCGAGGGAGAAAGACCGGGCTTTCTTCTCCAGTAAACAGCTATGGTCTCAGAAACCCAAAGGGATTCACCATGAATCACCTACGACTCAATCAATGGCAGTGAGTTTGCGGGTCGTTCCCAGGAGGGAGCCAGTTGGTCACTGTCAGCACTGTTGGCTCTATCGGCACTCTTCAGCAGCTCAGCAAAGCAAACCTTGAGCTAGAGTTTTGTTTTCCACCCTTTTTCATAAGAGCAGAAATCTTCTCTGGATTTATTTTAACACACCCAGGTACTAATAGGCCTTTAGTAAAGGTGAAGTGGCATCAAGTGAACTTTCAAAGAGCTGAGAATATCTTTGTACACACACAAACATACACACACACATCAAAACCTTAATGGAAAAGGAAAATGACAAAATAGTACAATTTCTCCACAAGCTTTTTAGAAGTAGCCTCCTATATCGTCACCCCTAACAACCCATTATAAGTCTATGTGAGTATAAAAGGTATCAAGTGTGAAGTATTCACTAATTTATTTAGCAAACCCTTATTGTGTACATGAATTTACCCTCAGAATATGACTCCATTCAATATGATAGTGTAAATAAATTCAAAGTCCTTGGGTTTATTCTAATACAGCTTATCATACGTTTGGCTACTCCTTGATGGTGGAAAGTAAATGATCTAATGAGGATGATGATGAATTTGACATAATTATCTTGTTTTAATATAGTCCAAAGGGCATGGGGTGGGCAATATACTTTGCAACATTATTGAAATGAAATGGATTTCTATATTACCATGAGAAAAATAAATCCAGTATATTTTAATCCAAATAGATTTTCAAGGAAGATTTCAAGGACAAAGCAGATACAATTGAGGAAGAAGGATTGTGGCAGCAGGAATAGATTCTGAGATTTAATAAATGCCTATTTAGACACTGCTTCCACTTTTCCAGCAGCGAGAATATGACAACAGGCTCACATATGCCCAACTTCCTGTCGGCTGTATTCTGGTTCACGGCCACATGCAATCCTAGACACCCAGGTGCAAGCCTGTTGCTCAGCTGTGCCTCAGAATTTACATTACAGGCAATTTAATCATGTACAAACAAAAAGAATCCTATAGATAGAACCAAATCATATCCTATAGGTTTTTCAATCTAAAGACTATCTTAGAAAAGCATTTTCCAAAATATTTTTCCTTTAATGCTTTTTCCTTGGAATATTTATAATTGTACCATGAAAAAGATTATTCCAAGGACAAGTGTAAATGGGAAATGAGGTTAATCAAGGTTAAACAATCTTTTTAAAAGCCTTTAACATATCACCTTAAATTATGACTCTCCCAGAGAAAGACATAATTGGCAGCATTTCTCAAATTTGTTGGAACATGATATCCTTTGTTCAGAGAAAATATCAAAAGACTATTATTGCAAGGAACATATTTGTGAAAACCAACAACAACATGATGGTCAAGAGAGTCCTAAAACAAGAACACATAGTTCTTTTATTACTATAGAAACTATGCCATATATCAAAATGTAATATCACAACCTCCCTTCCAATTATGACATCTTTTGGTAACAGCCTCTGGAGCACACTATTCTCTCCATTAATGTATGAACTTAAAAAGAATGG